GCCCCGCCGGCCCAGCGCTGATCCGGGGCAGGGGGCCGTCCCTTCAGGGGGAGCTCGGGCTTGGGTGGGAAGCCAAGGCCCCGCACCCTGAAAGTCCCCGGAGTGACCCCCTGGGCAGGCAGCTGGCCAGTGCTGCCAGCCAAAGCTGGCCGTGCCCACCCGGCAGCAGGCTTTGCCCGGGTTGGGGGTGGGGGAGCCAGGAGCCAGGCGCTCTGGGCACAGCCACCCACGGGAGAAGTCGGCGGCAGGCCTCTTCCCCAGAGTCCGTACCCTGGTGTTCAGGACCCTGTGGCTGGGCCACTGCCGGCTTCTCTGCGGTGGGTCTCTCCCCACCGCCGAGGAGACAAGCGGCCGAGCTGTTAGCTAGCCATCTGCAGAATCGGGGCTGAAGGTGGATCTCCTGCAGGACAAACCCCCAGCGTCTCCCCAGCAAGCCCCTTGTCCCTCCTGCCCAGATCCTCTTCGTTCTCGCCACCTGCCACCATCGCCCACCCCACGCGCCTCCCCACACCTCCTAGGAGTCCTCCCCATGACAACCCGGCTGCCAGTCACTGTTCCCAATCTTGAGACATCTGCTTGTGGGCCTTTGTTTTGACAGGGCTGGGGGTGGGTGTCATGCTCCTAGAAAAAAGCGTATGACAGTGCCACCTTCTGCATCCTAAAAAACAAGCAAAAACCCCAAATGCCGGGCTCGGTGGCTCAGCCTATAATCCCGTGCTTTGGGAGGCCGAGATGAGTGAATTGCCTGAGCCCGCAGGTTTGAGACCCGCCTGGGCAAGTTGGCGAGACCGCATCTCTACAATAAATCAAAAAATCAGCCGGGCGTGGTAGCGCGCGCCTGTAGTTCCAGCTCCTCGGAAGGCTGAGGCGGAAGGATGGCCGGAGCCCAGCGGGTCAAGGCTGCGGTGGCCAGGAGCAGCCGCTGCACTCCAGTCTGGGCGACAGAGTGAGACTCCAACTCAAAAAAGCCAAAAAAACCCCAAAGGACTCTTACTTTGGGAAGATTTGCCTCAAGAACAGGAACACTTAAAATCCACTCAGTTATCCACCAGCCTGCTTGTCAAAGCAGACACCTCTCTTCTGCAACGTTGACATTGCCAGTGCATGCCAAAGACCAAATGCTGTTGCAGTGGACAGAGAAGTGGGTTCTGACTTGACCTTTCCTAGAATGATTAGTTCACGAAAGGCTGTTGTGACCAAAGAAACAACTGTATAGTAATGTATCCTGTGTACAACCTTGGCCCATGAATGTGTAAAAAAGTACAGCCTTTGTTATTTTCTTACATCTCATTTTAACTCCTGCTTTAAGACTCCCTCCCTAAGGGGTAGCAGGGAGGTCTAAGCAGGCTTTTAGAACTCTCTCCCAAGTGCCATCGAGAGAGAGAGAGAGAGAGAGAGAGAGAGAGAGAGAGAGAGAGAGCGTGCCGGTGGAGAAGCAAGTTCAATGCTATGATGAAACCCTCCCTCTGTCACCCTGGTTATTGCCCATAAATAGATAACAGCAAGGTGACGTAAGAACATACTCACATGTTCAAAGTCCACCAAGGGCTATGATAAAAACTCAATACGGAACAGAAATGATAAGTTTTCCCAGGGCACATCTGTGGTACCTCTGTGGCTAAGGCCAGGGACAGTGCCCCAAATGCCACTCTCTAGGCTTCCGTCCTTTGCCCCAGGGCCACGCGGGGACACTTCCACTTTTGAACCGCCTCCTGGCACAGGTTGTCCCTGAACACTTCTTGTCTTAGTCAGCATAGGCCTTCCGCCCCCACCCCTGGGACCTGGGTCTTTCTCTGGGGCTCTCCAGGAACACACTGGGAAGGCCTCAGGGCCTTAGAACAGCGACACCTGAGGCTCTCAGCACAATGCCAGAGGTCGTCTGTGCAGCAGGAGGGAATCTGGAAACAGAAATTACATTGATATAGAAAGACAAAATTGAATCCCCAGCACCCCTGAGCTGTGGACTGACGTGTGTAACTTAACCCTCCATAATAGCCGCCATCTTCCGAGCCCCCACGAGGCGCCAGGCGTTCTGCTAGGATGTTGACAAACCTTTTCTGACACAACCTTCATGACGCACCTGCCCTTCCACCAGCTTTTGCTCATGCACCGTCCTCACAAGGCGACCACGCAGCAAAGCTCACGAAGTGCACAGTGCGAGCCTGGTGTGGGGTTTTGCAGACATTCATGCACGCGACCCTTCCGCCAAGCCCGCAAGGTGGGGGCATCGTCACCATCCCCATTTGGCGGCGAAGGAAGGTGGAAAACCGCAAAGTGTGGCTCCACGGTCCGTGCTGGTCCACCTCACACATGCTAGGACTCCTAGAGAAAAAAGTGGAGAAAAAGCGGCCGCCCTTGGGAAGCACACAGTCTGGGGTAGAAGGCTACTATGTGCTTGGCACTGCGCAAAGTGCCAGTGTGCAGCTGGACAGAGGAGGCCTTTCCCACACAGAATTCCTGGCCCGGGAAGACATCCGGATAAGCACATGGAGGGAGGCAGCTAGGAGGGAAGCCAAAGAGTGCAGTAGGTCTCGCGGCAGAAGCTCACAACTTTGTCTTGTGGGAAGGTGGGGTGGGATCGGCAGTCAGGGAAAGCTTTGGGAGGAAGTGGTCTTGGAACTGGGACACGAAGAGTAGGCCAGTCGAAGGGATGGGAAGTGTGTTCTCAACAGCCTGTGTCAAGGCCTGGCTGTGGAGAAGCAGAACAAGTCACGTTCAAGAAAGTCAAGTTTAAAAGGACAGGAGTAAGGAGTGTGTGGGGGTCAGTGATAGGAAACATGGCCCAGGAGGCAGCAAAGGCAGATGGAGAAGGGGCTTGAGAGTGGAGCTGAGGAGGCCCTAACAAGGTTAGCGCCTGGAGTCCACCTGGCTGGATGGACAGCTTAGGATTCCTCTGCCTGCCGTGTGGACAGAGGGCAGGGAGGAGTCTGGTGGCAGGGGAGTGGCTGGGAACAATGCTGGCCAACACAGGTAAGCCTGCAGGTGGTTGAGGTAAGAAAGCAGGCAGTTGATGGAGGGGGCTGGAGGGGGCATGGCTTACTACGTTTTGGAGGTACAGTGGACAGGTCTGCCTTGGTGATTGCAAGTACCACACACTACGGCACACAAACAGTCCATCCTCATCTCTGTGGATTCTGCTTTTGCAATTTGGCCTCCTTGCCAAAAATCATTTGTAACTCCCAAGTCTGTTTTTGTGACTGTGGCGTTTATTCAGAGTCGCACAGATAGAACAATCTGAGTTGCCTGATGTACACGTTTCGCAGGGAACCATGGTGCAGTGGGCACCAACTCAGTGTTCATGGCGACTTTCTAGAACACAACTACCAAGAGCACAGCCCAACCAACACAGAGCGACTGTGTCGGTCTATACTGCGTGTTGTGTCTGCACGAGACACAACCTGCAGGCCTCGAGGCCTTTTGAAGTGGAAAAGCGTGGCCATGCAGGGGATGACATGTGCGAAACCTGGAGACACTCAGGGTGGCAGAAGGAGGATGAGTGTGTACACCTGTGTGAGGCTGCTTGGTGCCAAGAGAGAGGCGCACCTCGCAGGGTCCTGGGGCGTCCTGAGGTTGGCCCCACTGAGTGCCCGGCAGGGGCTCAGAGCAACGGTTTCCCAGGGTGGACCATGGGCTGGGGCCGGGCCGTCCAGGTCGGACCCTGAGGAGCTGTGAGGTGCACACTCCTGGCCTCACCCCAGAGAGCTGGTGCCAGTGCTCAGCCTGCAGGGAGACCAGCCCGCAGCCAGGCTGCGGAGCTGTGCTCTGGAGCACCCTGGATCGCTCAGAAGCACTCGAGGTTTCTCGGCCTCCCGATGACTTTAACTTCCGATGCTTCTGATTGGCAGACATGGAGACATATTTATGAACCACACTGAAAACTGGATTGGCTCTCAGTACAAGAAGGTGGTTTACAGAGAATACACCAACGGAGAGTTTGTGGAGATCAAAGCCCGGCCACCACGAGAGGAGCACCTGGAACTCCTGGGTACGGCACAGACATCAGCCATGCACCGTCAGCCCAAGCACGCACACGCACGTGTAACACATGTGCACACGGACACAGACACACAGACATACACACATGTGCACTCACACACACATACACACAGGCACACAGACATGCGCGCGCACACACATGCGCGCGTCCTGTCAGACGTGTGTCTGGGAAGGGACAGAGGGACAGAGTAGTCTGACCACATCGGTCCAAGTGCAGTGTCTTCCTGCTCTGCCGGGAGTGAGCCATGTGCCCAACTCAGACAAAGAAGAGTTATGGTAAGGCCGCAGGTAGCACACGGACGGCAGCGCATCGGGGCAGTCTGACCAGAGTCACGTGCCCAGAGCTGCTCTAGACTACCAGGTAACACACAGACGGTAGCCCCTGCCCCCAGGGCAGTCCAACCAGAGTCGGATGCCCCGAAGCTGCTTTCCAGCACCTCTGCTGAGCCAGAAAATATGAACTGGAAACAACTCGATGTCTCAGAACCATGGGCAGAGTGTTGGCATAACTCATTCAAGGTTATGGACTATCTGTGCGCAACACAGAAGACAACACACCACACAAATATCTGTGACGAAAAAGGTGGCCCAGGATGTGATGGGCCCAGGGGGAGAAGTCTGGCTCCAGCTCAGAGGCCCTGACCCAGCCTTCTCAGAACCCGAGCTGCTGGGCCTGGGATCAGAGAAGCTCTTCCAGCTTTCCTTCCCCACTCATCTCCACCTGGGAGTCACCAGACCTGAACTCCTCTTGGAGATAAGCCCTTAAGGCAGAGGACTGACTTAGGGGACTTTGTGGAGCCTGTTCCGCTTTTGAACGTGCAAGGTAACGTATGTGGATGGTATGACCTTGCACGGTGCTTTCCAGTTTTAGAAAAAGCCCCTGCAAACCTTCACCTGATAAATTATTAAATGCCTCATCCACCCTGGCCGCACCTTCACGGCCTGTTAACCTTTGCCCCCGAGCTGGTTTGCCCCACCAAATGAGTGAGTCAGCCCTGATGGAAACATTCATTCCTCTGAGCCGTGTCTGTTGGCAGAGCTCTGAAGAAAGCTGCAGGTCCCGCTGAGGCGGCTGGGGTGTGCCCGAGAGCCCTGGTTTGGCTCTAGTGAGTACAAGGACACTCATAGTTGACTCCATCAGAGGCAAGCCCAGCAGCATCTCACAGGGAGGCCTGGGCTCCTCAGATCGCTCAAGGGCACGTGGCTGACCCTTCTCAGCTGGTGATGCCCCTGGGAATGACCTGTCACACTGTGGACCGGAAGGCATTTGCTCCCACTCACCAGTACAGCAAGGCGTGTGCAGTCAAAGTGCCAATGAGCACACAAATAACGATCCTAACATATGACTACACACGCACCATCTGGAACGATGCCCAGAGTCACTGTTTAAGAACATGCATAGAATTTTCTTTTCTAATCTTATCCTTTAAGAAACATGCCCATCTTTCAGAGCCTCCTGATTCATACACATATCTTCTTCTGGAGATAATGAGGTACACCAAGTTTTGTAGTGATGTGTGCCTTTTGTGGTCCTCCTCGGAAGAAAAGTTAAAACCATGACCTGAGATGGGGGGGCGGGGTTGGTGGGTATTGTCAGACCAGCCCTGCATGCATCTCCCCATGAATGTGAATTCACCAGACGCCCCCAAGGGAGTCAGAGGGTTAGGCCTGAGGTGCTTCCCAAACGACATCCACTCGCTGTGAGGACCCTTGTGAGCACCACGCTCTGTCAGCACCGCACTGCCCCTGGTGTGGGCGCGTGGTGATCCACCATCAGGCTGGCACGGGCCTCGCGGCTGAGTGTGGGCCTCCTTGGCAGGCAGCCTGGTTGCTTCCAACAGAAACGTGCATAAAGGGGGGAGGAGAGCATGTCTCCTTAGGTATCCAAATACCAAGAAACCGTGTCAGATATGCATTAGTAAAATCACCGTATTGATCATAAATCAGTACGTAAGGGTTTTTATTTCACTCTACTCTTTCAAATCCTTTTGTACACATTATTTTATTGGGTCCTCCTCATTATCATTATATCTCTTCACCAGATTATAAGCAGCTTCAAACTTACCAAAGATTACATGTGAGGGCTTGTAAATGAAAGCCATCATGACACGTGGTTGCGGCCTTTCCTGGAGTTCATTTCTCAGTAGTAGTAAAAAGTGAGGCATGCATTGAGTACCTGTTGTGTTTCAATGCAGTAAAATAAGCACTTTGCATACATCATCACATTTAATCCTTACTAGAACCCTATGCTAAAGGCATTGTTAAGCCCATACTGTAGATGAGAGAATTGAGATTCACACAGATTGCAAGATTTACCCAAAACTCCTCTAAGAAGTGAAGGAGGCGGAATTTAAGCCCAGGTTGGTCCCACTGCCAAAGACTACTACATGAGATTTAATGCTACACAAGACTGCCTTCTGAGGGAAGCGCACTCGTAAAGACAGCCTTTGTTTTATTTGGCTAAATGCTACCTGCATTCGAATTATATCAGTGTGGAAAAGAGCAACGATAATGTACACAGGCCTGTGTTTGCCTTTAGGCCCAATGATTCACGCTGAGGTGGGCGATTCCATCCTGATCGTATTTAAGAACAAAGCCAGGCGGCCCTACTCCATCTCAGCCCAGGGTGTGGAGGAGATGGACAGCGGGAAGCAGTTCCAAGTGCCTGCGACGATGCCGGGTAAGTTACGTTAGCCTCGTCTTCCCTGGTGAGGACGCCTGGTGCGCCTCTCTTCTGACGCCGGTGGGGCTGAAGTGCTCGTCTCAGTGTGTCCAGCTACCGTCTGGCCACTCTCGTGGATCATCATTCATCCACTGACCACCTGTTCACGGACTCTCTAGGGCTCCGTGAGGGGCCTCCAAGCGTGGTAAGAAATAATCATTGCTAACACATATTGAGTGCTAACCTGGTGCTAGCTGCTATGCTTTATGTTTACAAAAGAAAACAAACAAACAAACCCTTATTCTCACAGCAATCCAGTGAAGTAGATAAGACACTATTGATGATACTATCCATCAGCATTTTATCTGCTACTAAAAAAATAAAAACACGCACAGCTTGAGCAATATGTCCTGACTTCAGAATGTTAAAATGTGACAGGTTTGGCTAGGAGTGGTGGTCTCGTAGTCCCAGCTACTCGGGAGACTGAAGTGGGAGTCTCCATTGAGCTTTGATTGGACCACTGCACGCCAGCCTGGGTGATAGAGAGCCCCATCTCTTAAGGAAAAAAAAGTGAAAAGCTGGCATCGTAAAATTGATTATAAAAACGATATTTTTATGTCTACTCAGCAAATGCCTAAAGCACAGAGGATTAAAGAACTTGACCAGGTCATGTGTTAATAATGTCTGCAGACTCTGAGCTCTTAACCACACATTTCTCTCAAGGTGATTCAAATAAGTTTGGGAGGAAAAGAGGACGAAGCGGATTGTTTCGGCAGCAATGCAGATTATGCATCCTGAAGTTCTTAGCGGTGAAGGATTTGGGGAGTATTCCTGCGAATAGTCGTAGAAGTTTTAGAGAAGGAAAAGTTGTGATGCTAATTAGGAAAAACTGAGGAAAGGAACTCTTAAGGAAAACTTTATAAATTAGGTAGAACCCTACTCGGTTGGGTGTGTTTAAAGTTAAAAACATGTTTTAGGTTCCCAGAAACATTGGGCAAAAAGTTGAGATTTCTCACACACGGCCCCCTGCAGCACCAACATCCCCCCACCCCCAAGAGTGGCATAATTGTTACAGCTGATGCACCTGCAGTGATACAGCATCACCCAAAGCCCGTAGTTTACATGAGGGTTCGCTCCCGGTGTGTATCCTCTCTGGCTTTTGACAAATGCACAATGACACATATTCCCCATTGCAGTACCATAAAGCAGCGGTCCCCAACCTTTTTGGCATCAGGGACCAGTTTCGTGGAAGGCAATTTTTCCAAGGACCGGGGGGTGGGATAGTTTCGGGGTGATTCAAAACCATAACTTTATTATGCACTTTATTTCTAGTTATTACATTGTAATATGTCATGAAATAATTATACAATTCACCATTAAATAAAGAGGCGTGGATGGGAGTGGTTCCTATTTCTCCACATCCTACAAATTTTGATAAGTTGGATTTGTTGGGAGTCTTTGTATCCTCTTACTTTCTCTCCAGTTTTGGGGCAGCAGTTTGCCCTGTGACCTTATTTCTCTGATAGATGTAAGAAGAGATGTGGGGTTTTGTTTGTTTAGCTTTTTACTTGTCAGAGTGGAGTGGCAATTTCTAAACTCTATAAGCTCAGCTGGAAAGTGGAAGTCTTTGGTTTTACAAGATGAACTGATGGGAGGAAAGATCTCACAATTAAAAGGGCTTCCCATCAGATTTACACAGTTGGAGTGTGGCTGTGACAAATGTCAAGATCTGCTGTGACCTACAGTTAAGCACTTGATAGCAACTATAAGCAGAATTACAGGGGCGCTTCAGTCCACTTTCCGCTTATGTATAATAACATTATAAGATTTAATACTAAAGTAATTACAGTGGAGGTCACATGAACTTAAAGAAGAGAGACAATCTAATGTACCACCAGAAGAAGTTAGCAAGGGCCTGGGCAAGGGTAAGGTCGGGGGGCTCTTCACTGCCACCACTCTGGCTCTCCCCCACCCCATACTTAGGGTCTGAAGACAAGGCTGCACCAAGGAACCACTCACGGAGAGCTGACACGTCCATCCACAGGAAAGTCGTTAAGCTGTTTCAGAATATCTTTACAGTGAAATATAATGCAGTCATTGAATAACATTATAAAAGATTTCAGGCCATGTGTGGTACTCACACCTGTAATCCCAACACTTTGGGAGGCTGAAGAGTGAGGATCACTTGAGCCCAGGAGTTTGAGACCAGCTTGGACAACATAGCAAGACCTGGTCTCTATAAAAAAAAAAAAATTTTAAATTAGCCAGGTGGGGTGGCATGCCTGTAGTCCCAGCTACTTGGGAAGCTGAAGTGGAAGGATCGCCTGAGCCCAGGAGGTCGAGGCTGCAGCATAGGAAAGACTTAGAGTATCACGTTATGCAAAATATAAGCATAAAAAATACCGAAAAGGAAATAAGCCAAAGTATTAACCATGGTTATATCTTGGGTGGTATTTTGAGGAGCAATTAGGGTGCTATTCTTTTCTATTTCACATCTTTTGTAACTCTCCAGATTTTCTACACTGAAGGTGTCTTGCTTTTATGGAGAGGGAGATGCTTTACAATGAGTCCATAAAGTTATTCGTTTCTGATGGCCGAAAAGCAATTTCAGAGGAAAGAAAAAAGGTGCCCTTCAGGCCTCGGCGGGGCTCTGGTAGGGCTGTGGGCAAGCCGGGGAGTCTGACAGGCTCCGTGCCTGGTGGTGAGGCTGGCAAGGGACACGGCTCTCCAGTGCTGCCTGGCCTCCAAGCGCCACCAAGGTGAGGGTCACGGGGTGGGGAGATGGGCTGTAAGGTGGCGGGCGGCATTCCTCTTATGAGAATTCAGAGGGAGCGCTTCCTCCCGAGGGTTCCTGACTAGACAGACAGGCTGGGGAATGACCAGCAGCTCGGGAAGGGGCCAGAAACTAACTCTGCCCATGGAGTCCAAGCAGGTGCTGAGGAAGGGTTATCTGGGCATGCGTGAGAGGGGGGCACAAGCTGGCATGATCAGGAAGCAAGCAGCGTTTATCATATTGCTCCTTCTTTTTTGTCAATCTCTCGGCAGACATTTATTGAGTGTCTTCCTTATGTCCCGTGCTGAACTCGCTTCTGGGGTGAACAGTGGCTTGACCTGAGGTCAGTAGCACCACTCCTGCAGCCACTTGCATCCAGGAAGCGAAGCATCAGCTGCTTATCTTGCAATTGACAAGGCTTAGGAGTGTAAATAAAATATCCTGGAGGCTAGGCCTGAAGCTGTGTCGCTCCCCAGAATGTATTGGCAAAAATGGAGCTGTAGGACACGTGCTCCTTTTGCTTTGCTTTGTGCTGCACATAGTCACTGGTGTCCTGATGGGGTGAGGCTGGGGCACATACAGCTCAAAAAGAGATGATGACTTAAATGTGGTTGTAACTTGGGACTTTGGCGATGTGGCCGTCTTGCTAACTCATGTGGATGTATTGAACCCTCTTCTGTGCAAGGCTCTGGGTCAGGCACAGGGGTGGGTAGAGACGGGGCCTGCCTGTGGGAGCTCAAACATTTCTTCTTACGGTAGTCCCCCTTATTCACGGTTCTGCTTCCCTTGGTTTCAGTTGCCTGCGACCAACTTCAGTCCAAAAATATTATGAGAGCGAGAGGCTACATTCATAGAGCTTTTATGATATCATATTGTTATAATTGTTCTATTTTATTATTAGTTATGTGGTTAATCTCTTATTGTGCTTGATTTAGCAAATTGCACTTTGTTATAGGCATATATGTATAGGAAAAAAGTAGGATATATAGGTTTTCGTACTGTCTGTGGTTTCAAGCGTCCACTGGGGATCTTGGAATGTGTCCCTCTCGGACAAGGGAGGACAACTGTAGTGTACGTAAAAGTGAACACTTACTGGCTGCCTTCAGTGTGAGAACTAGCCCATGTATTTAATCTTATTACTTAATTTAAGCCCACTTTACAGGTAAGGAGACAAGACAATGAAGCTAGGCAGCTTGTCAAATGTTGGATAAATAAAAAGTCCAGACATCTGATTCTCTCTGGTTTTCACTGGGTCTCACCAGGCCACATGAGAAACTTAAAAAAAAATACTGTCCCTCAAGCCCCAGATCCAGGATACTCTGATTTCACTGGTCTGGGGTGAAGTCTGAGCACCGAGGGCTTACAGGGCTCCTGGGAGGCCCAGGCGGAGCCAGGGCCGAGCCCCTGCTGACCGTGGTGTGTGCAAGGACGGTGCTTGGAAGGGAGATGCGCCATTTGCGAAAGAAAACTTTTCCTGAATGCATACCAGTGGACAACAGAGAAAAGGCACACCAGAGGGAGGCTGAAGTCAGAAGTGACCGATCTGCCATTTCATTTTGAAATCGTAGAAATCCAGATGTGAGTTTAATAAGAACATTTCTAGTGAACCAGCAATCAACGCCGATTAAAATAAGTAAAGACTTGCTTAGTATTTCTTCAGGTAGATCATATGGAACAGAGGTAGTTCTAATGGATTCTTTCCATTTTTCCCAGGAGAAGTAAGAACATACAGGTGGAACATCCCTGAAAGATCTGGCCCAGGGCCCTCCGACCCCAACTGTATTCCGTGGGTCTACTACTCGACAGTAAACTTTGTGAAGGTGAGGGGGAGAGAGCAAGCCCAAGGCTTAACGGAGTCCGACTGTGAGTTGACTGTTCAAGTACTCACAACTCAGTTGGGTCCATGTGAAGGCGTGAAGTTATTTAGACCAGGGTCTTGTATGCGGCCCACTGGCTCAAACTAGCCATGCTGGATTTACGCTTACATTGTCTATGGTTGATTGAGTGTTTGCAACAAAGACAGAAGACAGTCTGGCCCACAAAGTCAAAAATATTTGTCATCTGGTGTTTTACCAAAAAAAAAAAAAAGTTTGCTGACCCTTGATTTAAGGTACCAGGGATAAAAACAAAACCTCAATGTTTCAACTACCAGACTGAGAACCTACAAGGTAGTTTGAAGCAAAAGAAGATATGTAAACAGATAATACTAAAGTAAAAGTACCTTAGAACACAATTTATTCATGGTTTTGGATGAGTGCGATCTATGCATTTTAAAGGTATCATCAGGGCTCAGGAAAAGAAAGTACACTCCAAACATAGTGACTGAAACGACAAAACTATTTGAATGACAAATAGTTTAATTTTGAAATATAAGGCAAAGATGCAGCACTGAATTTTAGTCAGATGTGTGTATGTAAAACAACTACAGTCTTTAATTGTATGTCATAAACCAAAGTCCAAACTAAAGTCATATCTGATATAAAATGTATTGCCCATTATAGAAAAAAGTACAGGCTTATCTTAACCTTTCTCTTAGCTACTAGATGGCTTGTATTAATCTCCGGGACAGTACTAGAGTTTAGGAGATAGTCATACAAAGCACTTAAATAGAGAAGTTCACATACTAGATGTACGGGAAACATTTATTTATTCTCTTATGGATCCCCAAAAATATTTATTGAGCTCTTGTGATCTGCAAATAACTACAAATACTGTGAGGAATGCAAATACCTTTGTCTTGAAGAAACTTACAACTTTGCAGGGAAAATAATCAATGTACACATTCATCACTGTAGTATAACCCTGAATTTGGAGAATTCCATAGGAGTGGTGGGCTAGCCCAGGCACTGGGGGAGCTTTGGAAAGAGAATCTGGGAAGAAGGAGCCTCATGGGCAAAACTGAAAATAGAGAAGCAGAGGGTGTGCTTGGGACAGGGTGAGTCCCGTTTAGCTGTCACACAGAATCCAGGGGGAAAGCAAGAGGCAGCCTCAGCCAGAAAAATTCACTAGGGGAGGACATGGAGGGGTGCACGGACCTGCCAAGGATCTGCACTTGATTCTGCAGGCTGCAGAAAATCACAGAAGACTCCTAGATGTGGGAGTGGTACGATTAATCTGATAATGGCCAGCAGGATGGGCTAGAGGTGGGGAAGCCAAAACCCAGAGGGGAACCAATTTCCAGTCCAGGGTGAGGCATGAAGACCCTACACTAGGACGGTGGCAGGTGGGACGGAATATTATTAAGTTGCTCAGCGGCTCTCTAACTCAGTCTATCTGCCTTTCAGGATACGTACAGTGGTTTGATGGGTCCTCTGATTACGTGCCGAGAAGGCATATTGAATGAAAAGGGAAGAAGAAGCGATGTTGATTACGAATTTGCTCTCTTGTTTTTGGTGTTTAATGAGAATGAATCCTGGTATCTGGATGACAATATCAAGAAGTATCTCAATAAAGATCCCCGGGATTTTAAGCACACTGATGACTTTGAGGAGAGCAACAGGATGCATGGTATGTCAGGAGGGTAGAGGAAGGCAGTGCTTGGGCAGCCCCCCCCCCGCCCGGTCCCTCCACTGTGGGAGCTTTGCTGTCCTCTCAATAAATCCTGCTTTATTTTATTTATTTATTTATTTATTTATTTTTTGAGTTGGAGTCTCACTCTGTCGCCCAGACTGGAGTGCAGTGGCCGCTCCTGGCCACCGCAGCCTCGACCTGCTGGACTCCGGCGATCCTTCTGAGTAGCCGGAATTACAGGCATGTGCTACCACGCCAGGCTGATTTTTTGATTTATTGTAGAGATGAGGTCTCGCTGCCCAGGCAGGTCTCAAACCCACGGGTTCAGGCCATCCACTCACCTCAGCCTCCCAGAGGCGCGGGATTACAGGCTGAGCCACCGAGCCCGGCTAAATCCTGCTTTAAAAAGAAGAAGAAGACTGTGCTGAGATGAGCTCATAGAAAGTTCTGGAACTGTGGGAGGCTGCCAGCACCTTTCTGAGCCTTTCCCCCTCCCCGGGGGCACCCAGACTAGATAAGTCCTGCACACTTTCCTTTAGGGAGAACCAGCCTAGGCATTGGTTGACTGGCAGCAAAGTCACTGAGCCTTTGAACCAACTTGTATAGGCATAGATCCCTGAGTGCCGGGATCTCCAAGCTACAAGACTGTGAAGTAATTCTTTAAAAACAAAGCATCACTCATTGGTATATTTCTATAAGAATACACCCTGACTTCTGCTTGATCAAATTTAAGCGCCTGGTTTAATTGTCTCTGGGACATGAAATGCCACCCCCAAATTTCTGTTCTCATGTGTCCATGTTATTTAATTCTATATTATTTAAGGGAGTTTGTTTCAGAGGGAGTAACGTACTCAAATGGAGTACGTTACTCCACACTCTCTCACCAAGATCTACTTTTGACCAAAAGTGCACAAAAAGGTGTCTTGCCCAAGGTCACAAAGCTAGCATTAGATACAGCAGGCTGATTCCCGATCCAGCTATTTTCCCTGCCGGTTTTGCTTTCCTCTCCTGAAGGTTTTCAGTTGTGCTCTCTGCTTTTGGTGAATGCAGCTCGTTGGGTTGTGTCATGATGCACAGAATAAAACGTTCGGAGAAAGCAGAGGAGTAAGAGTCACTATTACATAAACTCGGTTTGCTTAGGTCATTGTCAGGTCATGTGAAAAGCTCTCCATCTGGAGATCCAGCCGGGCTTAAACTGGTTCTCAGCAAGTGAAATGCTAAGAAAATAGCTTCTGATTCATTCAGTTTTGACCCCCATAAACGTGATTGTTTGTACATTAGTCCACTTGTCTGTAGAGTGGCATGCATCTGGCTGCCTCTCTCCAGCGAGCCTGTAGCTCACTCCACAAAGAGGAGATGCCACCAAGATGTGGCTTTAAAAAATAAGTCATTATTTCTCTTTTCTGGCTCCTTTTGTACAAGAGTTTCTCAGTCATCTCAATTTTGGGTCTAGAATGGTGGGACATTGGTAGGTCTTGAGTGAGATTGTTACACATTTACCAGAAAGATGAAAATACTAGTGACCTAAAGATCTTCTTGAAGCATTTTAAAAGCCAGGTTGTCTTTTCACTAACCAAAAGCTATTTTCCTTTCGCCCTTTTTAGCTATTAATGGAAAGATTTTTGGGAACCTCCATGGCCTCATAATGAATGAAGATACAATGACAAACTGGTACTTGCTAGGGATAGGGAGTGAAGTGGACATACATACCATCCATTACCATGCCGAGAGCTTTCTTTTTAAAGTAAGTATGAGGAAAATGCTTGGAGAAAGACTTTTGAGCCGGTAGATTGATATATTTCCACCAGAAAATAAGAGAGTGACTTGGCAATCATGCTTGTGAGGGGAGGTGGTTCCATTAGGGTGAACAGCAGAATGTGATTATCCCCGTTCCCCCATCTTGCTTCTCCGTATGTCTCCGCCGTTTACTGCACTTATAAATCTCTCTCCAAGCCTCCGATGAAAGCTTTCTCATCAGTGACATGGGGATTCTGACCTCCCTGAATTATGCTGTTGGTGTCATATATGAAAGGATCCATGGTATTTGTCTTTTTCCCGACCCTTCCTGTTTCTTTCCCTTTCCTTTCCCTCCATCCCTTTTTTTCCTGTGTAATTAGCTAACAGAGGAGCCCTATCCCGTAAAGGAGATATTTTGTACTCTGTTCTGAACAACCAAACTTCATCTTGACTTTTGCCCTACTGAGCTGGGCTGGATCATGGGTGACCATCTGCCGTCCAGTCTCAAGCTAGACGTGGGTGGTGCTGGCTATTCAGCAAACTCACCTGAGGAACTGAGTAAGAACAGACTGCCAGGCCCCACCCAGACCTGCTGAATCACTCTCTCCAGGGATAAGGTCCAACTAGCCTGGCACCTCATTTCTCAGTACCATCTACAAGGAAGTAGAATGGAAAAGCATAACAACATCTAATCTCTGGAGGAAGCTCACATGGCCCTTTTCCAGCTATCGGCCAAAACTGTAACTTTAATAAAACATCTAATATCCCTTCCCCTCTGTATATTTTAGCATACATCATTCAGGACACTAATATTAGCCTGCGATGATTAGAGTTTCACATAGTAAATGGCTACACAGCGTTTCAGAATAGGCTTTTTCAGTTATATTAAAAATGTATAGAATTTAATAGAATGTATGAAATTATAAAAATTTATATATGTAAACTTTAAAAATTAGGATGTAATTTGCACTGCACAAAACGCACCCTCTGTAGTGGGCAGTCCTGTTTTGACAGGCATAACCAACAGCAGTCGAAATTCTACCCTCCCCCAGACTTCCCCATCACACCCTGTAGTGTCAGCGACATCCCCATGCTTAAACCTGGCAACCACTGGTCTGTTTTCTGTCCCGATAGTTTTGCCTTTTTAAAGACGGGACTTGGAAATCGTAGTCTGCAGCATGCCGAGTCTGGCTTGTTTCGTTTAGCACAGGCATTGGAATTGCATCCATCTTGTTGCATGTCTCAGTGGTTTATTCCATTTGATTGCTGAGTGGTATCCCATTGTGTGGATATTATGTACTTGGTTCTCCCGCGGGGAACATTGAGTTGCTTCCATGGTTGGGCATCGCAAATAAAGCCTTTATAAACACGTGTGCACATGGTTTTGGATGCCTGTGAGTTTTTGTTTCCCTTGAGGAAACACCCAGGAGTGGGGTTGCTAAGCAGTACTGTTTTGTGTTTTCAACAGAAATCTATGCGAACTCATGTGTCGCATGTCTACATGTGCACTTGCTATTTTTAGTTTTTATTTTTTTCTTAGCCAGATTCTGTAAGTATATAGTGGCATCTCATTGTTTTCCATTTGCATTTTCCTAATAGCTAATGACACCGAACATCTTTTCATGTGGTTTTTTTTACCACCTGTCATCTGTAAATCTTTGGTGAATATTTTGTGCACATTTTTGAAAATTGGGTTGTTTGTTTATATATTCTGGATACAAATCCATTATCATTATGTGATTTGTAGATAGTTACTTCCAGTTTGTGTCTTGTCTTTTCATTATCTTAACATCTTGCAAAGACAAGAAGATCTTAATTTTTTATAAAGTCCAATTTTTAAGTTTTTTCTTTCATGGCTTATGCTTTTGGTGTCATATGTAAGAAATTTTTGCCAAACACAAATCACAAAATTTTCTTCTTTGTTTTCTTTTAGAAGTGCTATAGCTTTAGGTTTTATGTTTAGAGTTCTGATCCATTTTAAGTTAGTTTTCATGTATGGTTTGCGGGATGGATTGAGGTTCACTTTAAAAATATGGATGTCCAAATGTTCCATTACTACTCATTGAAAAGACAGTCTGTTCTCCCACTGGATTTCCTTTGTACATTTGTCAAAATCATATGGACTACATATATGTGGGGCTATGTCTGGGCTCTCTATTGTACATTGTCTGTTCTTTCTTGAGTGCCATAATTTCTTGATTACTCTAGTGTTATAGTGAGTCTTGAAATCAGGTGGTGATTGTTTTAGCTATTCTAGATCTTTTCCTTCCTATATAAATTTTAAAAACAACTTGTTGAATTTGATTAAAAAATTTTTGCAAGAATTCTGATTGGAATTCACTGACTCTGTGCAGTGGTGTGGGGAGGGTTGATACCTTAACAATACTTAGGCTCCCAGTCCATGAACACGGGATATCTCTATTTAGATCTTCTTTGATTTCTTTCCTTAGTGTTTTGTAGGTTTCAGTATACAGATCTTGCATATGTTTTCTGAGATTTATACCTAAGTATATTTTGGACTTTGGTGATAGGATAAATGGTGTTGCTTTTACTTCTATTTTTAGTTGTTTATTGCCGATATATAGACATAGAATTGATTTTTTGCATGTTGACCTTGTATCCTGCAACTTTGCTAAACTCACTTTAGTTCCAATAGCTTTTCTATAGATTTTAGGGGAATTTTCTATACAGATAATCATGTTGTCTGTGAAGAGAGAGAGTTTTATTTCTTTATTTTCAGTGTGTCTGACTTTTCTTGTCTTCTTGCACTGGCTAGGACAGTTTTGAAAATGAGTGGTGAAAGCAGTTGTCCTCACTTTATTCTTAATCTTAGGGGGAAAGCATTTAGTCATTCACCATTGAATACAAGGTTAACGGTAGCTTTTTTGTAGAGCCTGTTACCAGGCCGAGGAAATTTCCTTCTGTTCTTTGTTTGCTGCGAGGTTTGATCATGAGTAGATGTTAAGTTCTATCAAATGTCTTTTTTGCCTTTATTGAAATGATTATATGATCTTTCTTCTTTAGTCTATTGATGATTTTCTTTAGTCCACTGCTGAATTACATTTATTGGTTTTGAAGTGTTGAGCCATCTTTTTATTCCCAGTGTAAACCTTACTTGGTCATGATGCGTTATCCTTTTTGTGTATTGCTGGATTTGATTTGCTAATATTTTGTTATGCATTTTTGCCTCCATGTTCATGAGGATGATTGTAGCTTTTTTTTTTTTTTTTTTTGAGTTGGAGTCTCACTCTGTCGCCCAGACTGGAGTGCCAGTGGCCGCTCCCGGCCACGGCAGCCTCGACCTGCTGGGCTCCGGCGATCCTTCCACCTCAGTCGTACAGGTGCGTGCTACCACGCCCAGCTGATTTTTGATTTATTGCAGCGATGAGGTCTCACCAAGTTGCCCAGGCGGGTCTCGAACCCGCAGGCTCAGGCAATCCACTCACCTCAGCCTCCCAAAGTGTGAGATTACAGGCTGAGCCACCGACCCTGGCTGACTTTTTTTGTAATTTGTTTGTTTGGTTTTGTTATCAGGGTAATGCAGGCCTTATTAAATGAGTTGGAAGTGTTATCCTCTATTTTCTGGAAGAGTTTGTTTAGAATTGGTATTATTTCCTCTTTAAATGTTTGGTAGAATTTGCCAATGAAGCCATCTAGACCTGGAGTTTAATTTGCTGGAAGATCTTAATGCAATTTCAGCGTCTTTAACAGACATTATGTTGTTCAGGTTATCTGTTTATTATTGAATGATCTTTGGTGGTTTATGTCTTTTAAGGAATTTGTCCATTCCATCTAAGTTGTAGAATTCATTGGCGAAGAGCTACTCATTCGGTATTTTTTTGTTATCCTTTTTAAATGCAAGGTCTTAGCAATGTCCTCTCTTTCATCTTCTATTTCTGGTATTTGTCATCTGTGTCTTTTTTCTTTTTTTCCTGGTTGATCAGTCTAGATTTGTATTAGTTATCTATGGCTGCATACCAATTACTCTAAAATTTAGTGACCAAAAACAACGAATACGTGTTATCTCAGAGTTTCCCTGGATGAGGGATCTGGGAGCAACTAACCGGCTGACTGCCTCGCGAGATGGCACTCACGATGTCGGCTGGGGCTGCGGCTTTCAAAGGTCCGACTTGCGGGAGGATTCGCTTCCACACAGCTGTCCACTGGGGCCACTTCTGCGTCACGTGAGCAGAGCAGAGGAGCTGGCCTTCCCCAGGAAGAGTGGCCGGGAGAAGAGCGTGAGCCGAGTCCAGGACAGAAGCCCTGGTGTTGGCAGCCTAACCTTGGCAGCCGCATGCCATCGCTTCTGCCATGTGCTGTTGGCTACACAGACCCACCTGCAGACGATGTGGGACGGGGATGACTGGGGCCATCGTGGAGCTGGCTACTGCGGAGTTTACCGATTTCGGGGTCTGTTCAAAGAACCAGCTTTAGATTTCTTTGCTTTGTCTCTGTTGTGTCCTAATCTTGATTTTTAAAATTTCCCTCTTTATGAGTTCCTTTCTGGGGGAAGTTTTTGCTCTTCTTTTTCTTCTTGCTATGCTAAGCAATGAAAGCCACAAGCTTTTTTTTTTCTTCTTCCTCTTAATTTTCCAGATAGATAAGTCTTACCGAGAAGATGTGTATGATCTCTTTCCCGGAACATTCCAGACCATTGAACTGTTTGCAGATCACCCCGGGACATGGCTGATACACTGTCATGTGTCGGACCACATCCATGCTGGCATGGAGACAACCTACACGGTCCTCCGGAACACAGGTACTGTTGGCTGCCTGTGAGGCCGGGGGATGGCGCCATGCTTCCTGTGGAGCCTGGAAGCAGGAGGCAGGACAAAACCTCAGATGCGGGCCCCAAGGAGCTCAGAGTCAAGTAAGAGAGACAGATATGCAAATGTTTAACTATAATGGTGTAGGTAAGTGCCACAGCAGAGGGCAGGGTTCAGCGGCAGCAGTAGGAGGGAATGATGGCAGTGGGGAGATCTGAGCCAGGGCTTCCCTGAGGCCAGAGTGCTCCAGATGGACTCCGTGGGCGAGCAGAAGCGGGAGAGGTAGTTGGATAGCAAAGCATGTGTACGAGCATGCAGTAGCACAGGGAAAACCCAAGAAAGACGGGTGGATCCCGATGGAATGAAGGCCTCACTGGTGAAGTGGAATCACTGGCGTCATGGGGAGAACGCCCTTCGGTGGCTGGTAAAATCAGTGTGTCTTCTTTGTGCAGACAACAGGATTCCTTACGCTCCCACGTCTCCTTCTGGAGGGGCGTCTCACCCGGCCACGGCGCCCTCCAATGGTAAGGACGCCCCTTCCTCCAGGCTGCATGCGAGGGGGCCAACACTACTCCTCCAAAAAGGCAGGGGCCTGACACCTCCCTTTTCTTTATCACAGAGCAACCCGGCACGGAGAAGCTCTATTTCTTTGGCAAGAGTCTGGGCCCGAGAGGAGCCAAAGCAGCCTTGGTCATCCTTCTCATTGTCGGACTCCTCCTCCTGATGGCCACTGTGACTCTCTCCCTCAGACTCCACTCGATGAGGAAGCAGACAGCTTACCAGCAAGTCCAGTCCTGTGCACTCCCCACGGATGCTCTGTGATCCGTCCGATCCTCCCCAGCAGAGAGGGGTGAGATCTCACAGTTGACCGGATGGTGGCCAGTGGGGAAACGGGACCAAGACATGGTTCACCAAGGAAGGCTGACACTGTGTTCTGGGGTCAGGTTTCTGATCCTATGAACGTCCTCCAAAGCAATTCGCCTTTATTTATTTACTTTTGAATGGGCTGTGAGTCATCCTCAGGCATAAAATACAGACGCAGGAGAATGGGCACGACTGAGAAATGTCGGCTCCTAGTCTGTTCTCTGGATGCGTTGGCTTGGTGGGAAACCCTCGGAAAGATAGTGACATTCCACCTTTCATAATTCTTAAATGGTGCCTCCTTAGCTAACCACCAAAGTTTCTAGATGGATAGCTTCTCAATAGAGTTATAGTGCCTCAGACATCTACCTGGAGGGGCACTGATTTTTCGACACTGTTATCTAAGATACTTCCCTTTGTTGTTCCAGGGAAAATCTCTTTCTGAGGAGTTCTCGGAAATGTCTAGTCAGTGTGTGCTGATGAAATTGGACCACCTGAGTTTTTTGAAGGCTTTAATCAGCTCTCCTTGCCTTTTCCCCTTAAATATAAAGAGCCTGTTCACTGCTTGTTATAAGAGGCAAAGTTAAACTTTTTTTCATTGCTGCTGTTTTTATGCAAACCACAGACATACTTGAATGTTCACCACTCACTTCATGTTATATGTTTTTATAATGTTTCCATGGCCACATTTGTATTTTCAAAAATCAACCAGAGAATTGCACGTGTGTTTCAGGTCATGAGAGGACAGGGTCTGTGAGAGCAGGCTGGGTCCTCCCACCTGGGCCAGGGATTCCCGCAGGTCCAGAGCAAGCTCGCCAGAGGGAGGGAAGCTCGCGGGAGCCATGTCTGGGCTTGGAGCCGGAGTCAGGTTTTCACTCAGTCAGGGGAAATGTTTCCTCCAGTCGCCTCTTCTAGGAAATGGCAACGGTCTCGTCATATGAGAAACACCAGGAGGAATTCATCAGTGCAGCAGGCTGGCTAGGAGCCGAAGGGAGCTTGCAAAGTCCTCGATTCTGTGCCTCTTGAGACACAGTCTTTGTGGGAGGAGAAAGAAGGGAGAGGGAAGGCTAAAACAAGAGCGTCTCGGTGGCAGGTGTTAAACCATTCGATTGGCCTTGAACTTAAGGCAGTTTCCAAGGCTCAGATTCAAAAGTAAAATCCTGAGTAACTAAATTCAGCCCCTCAATGAGGCAGTCTCCGCTCTCTGTACGCATGCTTAGACTTTAGGTATAAGGTGGCTAAAAGCCACATTGTTTATTACTAGACCGAGAAACTGCCCTTAGCTCAGGCAAGATGCTTGGGATGTCAGCAGGGATGCCAGACAAGTGATGTCAGCGTACATACCTTCGCAGAGGGCCATTTGAACGTCCAGGTGAACGACTCGAAGCTAATCAATACTCGGGTGGAGGGAGCTTTCATACTTTCTCGTCTTGGTGAAGGGAAACGGGTAATTTGATAGGCGCTACCGTCTTACATAGAAGAGGATGCAGATGCTGGTAGTCCTATTCAGAGTTTGCTTGAATGTCATATCAAACAGGGTGCACAAAAGACTGAGGTGTAGCCTGCTAACCACTGACAATGTGATTTTGCTTACACACTTACAGTTCTCAGACAGTTCTCATGGGCTACATAATTTCAGAATAATTATGATAATGCCTTATTTATTACCCACCTTTGGTAAGACAGTACATTGTTACAAGTTTTTTCTTTTTCAGTTTTTTTTTAACGAAAGCAAAACCACGAAGTTGATTGCACCACTTCTCTTTTTAATAAAGTTTCACATAAGACGGCTCCTGGCATGTTTTTCTTCCCTCAACATTTCTATCACGAAGTGGGGCATGGTGGTTAAAGGATAATTGTCTTTGGGATAGTTAGCCACTTGGACTTGCCAACTCTCCTTGTCAGAGGAAATGAAACAGAACGATGTATCTCCATAAATAATATGACTCCTCAAACATCATTTCCTCAGCTTGCCACACTCCTTCCTCCCAGCTTCACCCCTTGGAGAAGATCAGCCCTACCCTCGTGTGCACACGCCTTTCCCTCCCGTTGCCATGGAAGAAGCGTCCCTGCTCCTGGCAGGACAAGCTCGCCACTCCACTCTCAAGGACTTCTCGCCCTCAGGTGTGGCTTTTTCTCCTGCAGCGCTCTATGAAGTCATCAGCAATGACTGCTGTTAAAAACAGAGAGCAAAGAGCTGTCTTCCTTGACTTTGTCACCACCTCCAGCCCCGAGGTTCTCTTCCCTTGACAGCAGAACATGAAGAGTTATGTGCACCTGCTGCCTGTGCCCCCAACCCCCATTCCTTGACCCGTTCCCACGGCCTCCAGGCCAGGGTGCCCATCCCCCACACCCCCCTCTGCTGTGGCCAGAATCACCAACCACCACGCCATCTCCAGTGGCCTCTTCTCCATCTTTGTCTTACTCAACCTCTCAGCAACAATGGACAGCTGCTGGCTTCTGGACACCCTCTGTCCTTCCTTCCCAGGCTCTTTTGCCAGTTCCTCCTCCCCTGTCTGACCTGAATGTCAGCATGCCTCAGAACTTGATCCTGGGCCCTTTCCTCTCTTTCTGCCCTTGGTGGCAGGCTGATGTCCCCAAAGATGTCAGGTCTTAATTCCTGAACCTGGGAATGTTACCTTCGTGGCCACAGGGCCTTGGCAGCTGTGATGAAGGACCCGAGACGGGGAGTGTATTCTGGGTGACCCACACGGGCCTCAACGTCAGCGCAAGCGCCCTCAGCAAAGAGAGGCAGAGGGAGATTTGATGACAGGAGAAGGCAGCGTGGCAACTGAAGCAAGATGCTGTGCTGCCGGCTTTGGAGATTGGGGTGGGGGCACAACCAGACAGCTCTGGGAACTGGGAAGGCAAGGGAGGGAATTCTGCTCGTGAGCTCCAGAGGGGCTTGGCCCTGCCGGCATCTTGAAGCCAATTTTGGACGTGGGGCTCCGGGACGCCAGAGGATAAATGTGCGCACCGAGTGTGTGCTGATGCATTACCGTTCTCTGCACAGTTTATTCCATCCATCCTCATGGTCTGAAAATGCCTTTATGCTCATCAACTCAAAATGTGTGTCTCCAGCCCGGGCCTTGGGCTGCAGACTCACAAACGCGGCTCAGGCATCCCCAGTGGGTCCCACTGCACCTCCTGCCTCCAGCCACCGCCCGCTCACGGCCAAAGCGTTCTTCCAAATCTCATCACCACTTCCCTGGCCAACGCCCTTGAGCGTCTTCCCACTCCACGTTCAATGACGTCCAAACTCCCTGGCCCATGCCCGCTTCTGGACTCTTCTTCGCCCGGCTCTTGTCTGTTCCTACGCCCTGCTAGCTCTGCTGTGCCTCAGGCCCTCTGCCAGCGCTGCTTCCGGTGCCTGAAATGCTCTCTCTCCAGCACCCCCATCCCTCCCACCTCTCCTAGTCCCAAGGCCAGTGCCCCAGACTGCCCGCTGTACAGTGGGTCTCTCAGTCTCCACTGTCTTCCTTTGCAGTACGTATCACAGGACACACTCACTTATCTGTCTGTCGGCTCCAGGTCTGCCTGCCTCTTTGGCTGGAGTGTAGGCTCGGTGGAAGCAAGGCCCCCGGGCCTGTTTGCTCACTGTTGAATCCTGAGCACAGACTAGCGAAAATAAGTAATAGTTGTCAGCAAGTATTTCTTGAATAAATAAGTGAATATGTAAAAGGAACATGCAGTCTGGTGAGCTATTTTGACTTTGACTATTTTGGCGGCAAAAGATCTCGTATTCAAATGTCAAGGGTCACAAACAAGTGAAACAGAGCTCCGGGAGACTGGCTGTGAGGTCTACAACTCTTGGTCCCCTTCTAGCAAATGGCATTGGGGGAGGGTGGGGCAGGTGGGCTGGGAGTGTCATCAAGACAAAGTCTAAGCAACTATCATGGGAAGAGGAGCTAAGAAAACATGATGACAAACACATACTACGATATCCAGATGGGATCCTGGAACAGCACGTCAGGGAAAACATAAGGACATCTGAATAAACAATAGACTTTCATGAATGTGTTGATGCCGGCTCACTAGTGGAAACAGATGCTCATGGAGGATGTCAATAACAGGGAGTGCTCGTGTGGCACTGGGGGAAATGGGAACTCTTGGCACCATCTGCTCAACTTTCCTGTAAATCTAAAACTAAGACAAAGTTAAAATTAAAATCAAACTCTATGTTTAAAAAAAACAATGTTGCCCTCACTCTCGTTTGACATGCTAAACTCCCAGCTGTCAAATGCTGAGTGCCTCTGATGTGGTGGGCACCATCACATGTATTACCACGTTTACTTCCGAGAACAACACAGTGAGATAGGAAGTCTTATCCCTATTTGGAGAATGAGGAAACTGACGCCTAGAAATTTCTTTTTTTCCCTCTTTTTTTGTAGAGATGGGGGTCTCGCTATGTTGCCCAGGCTGGTCGTGAACTTCTGGGTTCCAGCGATCCTCCTGCCTCGGCCTGGCAGAGTGCTGTGATCACAGGTGTGCGCCCCTGCCCCTGGCCGAGGCCTAGAGCCTCCCAGTGACATATCCTTGGTCCTGCAGCAACGGTGTGGCAAACCCAGGAGTTGAACTCAGGGTCTTGCCTTACGCCCCCCCCCCCAAGAACATCAGCATGGGTCGGGTTGTTTTGACTTGGTTTCTGCAGCAGGAAGAACAGCTCCCTCAGCTACCACACCCTTCAGCACTACTCATTTCTAGCCTGCCTCTATCCAGTTGAGGCTCTGGTGACTTTTCCTTTGCAAAGTTTTGAGAGCTTCTTGCCCAGCCTCTCCACCTCCACTCTTGGCACCCAATCATCCTACGCACGGCTGGCAGGTTCATCGTTTTAAACCATGACACCCTTTACCCCCCCCCCCCCCGGAAAACTCCCTGATGCCCACTGCAAAGAGTCTTGACCACTTCCCTGGCCCGACCTTGTCATCTTCGACTTCTTCCCCTTCCAGGCCCAGGGGGCT